AAGATCTTATTGTAAGAAGGTGTTGCTATCACTTATCACTTGAAAAGCAATTAAAAATATTGTGCATCTGAGAAAGCTTCTAGGTGCCTTTTTTTCTACAGCAGGAGTCTACAATCCTTGTTCCTTTCCCATTCCTTATGTGGCTCTCAAACCCAGCAAAATCCTATAGGTCATTTTTTTCATGTATTTATTTATAGGCGCAATTGGTGGGGACGAGAGAGAGGGTCTTTTCGGTGGTGACCCCTCGACTCTGGAACTCGCTCCTTAAAGACATCAGGCAGGTCACAACTATGGCAGTCTTCAGGAGGAGCTTGAAGACATGGCTGTTCCAGTGTGCCTTCCTGGAATAATGATCCCATAGCACTTTGTCCTCCAAAGAACTTTACATTTCTTTAGGTCTGCTCGCATGCCCTTCCACAAACACCACTACCACCTTTTCGTCCATGTCCCAGCATTACTTCAAATTTTAACTTTACGTTTGGCCTTCCCACTGTTTTTAATTGTGTGTTGTCTTGTTGATAATGTTGTATATTTTATTGTCTATTTTTTTATTTTAATTGCTTGTATTGTTGTTATTATTGCTGGTATTGTTGTATTTGGGCTCGGCCTCATGTAAGCCGCACTGAGTCCCTTGGGGAGATGGTAGCGGGGTACAAATAACGTGTTATTATTATTATTATTATTATTATTATTATTATTATTATTAATCATGTCAGAAGCAAATTGAGAATGCAGTTGTAATGTGTAAAAAACCACAAAGTTAAAAACAGCATTATGCTAGATTTCCTTTGACCAGAAGCTGGCCACTTGGAGTGCTTCTGGCGTCAATGGAAGTCTTCCATTGTGCATGTGGCAGGGCTCAGGCTGCATTATAGTCGGTTGTCCTTGGTTTGCTCTTCTCCACAGTCACATGTCATGGACTCCACTTTGTGACCCCATTTTTTAAGGTTGGCTCTGCATTTCATGATGCCAGGGCAGAGTCTGTTCAGTGCCTTTCAAGTTGCCCAGTCTTCTGTGTGCCCAGGAGGGAGTTTCTCATTTGGTATCAGTCACTGATTGAGGTTCTGGGTTTTAATCTGCCACATTTGAACTCTCACTTTGTGAGATGTTCTTGCGAGTATCTCTGTATATCGTAGGAAGCTGTTTCTTGATTTAAGGCGTTGGCTTGCTGGCTGATATCCGAACAGAGGATGGGCCAGAGATGTCACTGCCTTGATCCTTTCATTGCTTGCTGCTACTTCTCAGCAGATATCAGGTGGTGCAATGCCAGCTAAGCAGTATAATTCCTCCATTGGTGTGAGGTGCAATAACAATTTTAATGTAAATTGTTATTATATTTGTCTTGTTTGGGCACAGCTGAATAAAATTCCACATTATCTGCTTTGGACTGGAATTTATGGCAGTGTGGACTCAGATAACCCAGTTCAAAGCAGATATTGTGGGGTTTTCTACCTTGATATTCTGGGTTATATGGCTGTGTGGAAGGGCCAGAGAGAAGGGCCCTTGCATCACAATTGTGGAAATAATGAAACAAATGCTATTTGTTGGCCAAATAGTGTTCCCCTGAAAATTAGATAAAATGCTCCCATTTCCACACATAATGTGTGTTTTGCAGTACTCCAAATTATGAGATATTATTTTATCTGTACATGGGTGTACAATGAGAGAGGGATAAGGTGGTCAACCTTTCCCCCAAATGAGTATTTGGGCCCTTCCACACAGCCATATAACCCAGAATGTCAAGGTAGATAATCCACAATATCTGCTTTGAACTGGATTATCTGTGTCCACACTGCCATATAATCAAGTTCAGTGTGGATTTTATACAGCTGTGTGACAGGGGACACAATCTCCACATTACATTTACCTGGTAGTTTGAAAAGTAAGGTTTTAGCTTTTGGAGAAGCTGAGATACAAGGCGAAGTGTTCAACCAATTTCCGCCTATTCTTTTATTTTAAAAATATACTTATTTCCTGGATGAGGCAGTTCATTTTAAAAGTACTTTCTTTCCCATGCACAGTGTTTCTTCAACTAACGAACCAACAGAAACCCAAAACACCAGAACTAGTATAATTGCATAAGACAGAATATTTCTGAGATCTTATAAGCAAGTTAGTAAATATTTAAAACACTGTTTTGACAAGGTAGTCAGACAAGGCCCATCATTACTGTGTCCTCTGTAATGCAAGGGAAAAGACAAACTGTTGTCATATTTGACATATTATTATAATTCGTGGCTATGCCATATATAACATCTCTTGCTCATCTAAGTGGAAAATTTTAAAATGAGATGAGGAAGCAAGAATGGGGAGCCAGTCTCTCTCAGGCCCCTTCCATACAGCTGAATAAAATCCCACATTATCTGCTTTGAACTGGAATATATGACAGCGTGAACTGGGATGGCTTTGGAATGTGATGGTCTACAGCAGGGACCACTTCATCAGGGGCCACTCTCCAACATTAGCACCAAAACGGTTACAAATCAGTTTTTGGTCAACTTTAGGTTTGGTGTGGTTATTTGGGGTGCTGATTCAGAAAACTGCGTTGGATAGACCACATCAGCTCTAGTTTCTGATACAGAACATATGGCATCCAGTAGTCACCATCTACTCACCCACAGAAAACCATATTTAATAAGGCTCGGCATTATAAGAGGGTTTTGTGAGACCAGTCACTCTCATTGCAATGGTGTAGTAATGGTGCGGCCGCCAACCATATTTAGTTCTTGCAGATCACTAGTGGTCCATGGACCAAAGATTGGGAACAAAAGATTGGGAACCAAAGGTTGGTACAGAAAAGCTAACTGGTGGAAGGCTTAGATACAAGCTGCCAAGAATGAGGAGCAAGACTAACAGCAGCAACTAGAATGGACTGTAAAATTGAACTGTAGATAGGAAGAAAAATAATATGCATTCTGCAGAAAGAAACTTAACAATTGTCGTGAAGAATGAAATGATATTGAGATATAGTATAACTATGGTGAAGGGTGCAATGTTAACCAGTTGTTATAACCAATTTGACAAGTAATAACAGCAAGTGAAAGAAGATTTAAGACAATGAATTGACCCGGACTGGACTTTGGATTCTGGATTCTGATTTTAACAGGCATGTTTTAATTAATTGTTTAATTACTGTTTTTGATGTTTTTAGTGTATTGTATTTTTTATTTTTTATTTTTGTTGTGTCAGGAGCATCCTGTTGTGAGAGAATTGGCCGTCTGCAAGGACGTTGCCCAGGGGACGCTTGGATGATTTTGATGTTTTATCATCCTTGTGGGAGGCTTCTCTCATGTCCCCACATGAGGAGCTGGAGCTGATAGAGGGAGCTCATCCGCCTCTCCCTGGATTCGAACCTGCGACCTGTCGGTCTTCAGTCCTGCTGGCACAGGGCTTTAATCCACTGCGCCACCGGGGGCTCCAGTGTATTGTTGATTGTTTCTATGATGTTGGCATCCCATGGTGCTCTTGTGAGGCCTCCCTGAGTCCCCCCTCGGGGTGAGAAGGGTGGGGTAAAAATATAGGAAATAAAAAATTAAATAATTCCAAACAGATTGAGGACTCAATAAATGCACAAAAGCCTCATGAAGCCCAGAAACACACATAAGAAAAACAGAAGTAGATACTTTTGAAATTCCATAGAGAAAGGCCTTTATCAGGGTAGACCTTGAATAAAGAACAATATTTGTCCCTATATGTGGGTGTGTAATGAGTCTTTCCTATCAACCTGATACTTCTTGTCTATATTGAGTATCTGTGTATCTTATTACTACCCTTACCTTTTATCATAATTACAAGTTCTTCTGAAGACTGGATGCTAATCTGCTTTAATTTCACCATGTAGCTTAGTTTTTTTATAGTAGCTAAGTATGACACGATCAGTGCACTCACTACAAAAATCACATGAGCTAAAGTTTTCATTATCATTGAGGTTTAAAGTAAATGCCAGAGACACTGAGTTAGTTAGAAGATGTTCTATGGTTGGTTCAGTCACCTTGGACACATCATAAGAAGGCATTAGAATAGGCAAGAAAGGTGAGAGGCAGTAGGAAAAGAGAAAGATCACATTACAAGTGGATAGAGCCAACACAACCACATTACATTGCTAGTGAATAGAGCATATTACAGGCCCGTAGCCAGGATTTCGTTTCGGGGGGGGGGGCTAAATTTTTTTCAGGGGAGGTTTCGGGGGGGGGGCTGGGTTTCGGGGGGGGGGGGAGTCTGAGTGAAAGAGGGTCTAGCCTAGCAAACCTTTTGTATCATTACCTGGAACGATTCCATCAGGGCCGCCTCTGGAAAATCCTGCAAATCTCTTGGGAAGACAAGCGGACAAACGTCAGTGTGCCAGAAGAAGCAAAGACCACCACCATTGAAGCAATGGTCCTCTGCCATCAACTCCACTGGACCGGCCACGTTGTCCGGATGCCCGACCACCATCTCCAAAGCAGTTGCTCTACTCCAAACTCAATTATGGGAACCGGAATGTTGGTGGACAGGAAAAGAGATTCAAAGATGGGCTCAAAGCCAACCTTAAAAACTCTGGCATAGACACTGAGAGCTGGGAAGCCCTGGCCCTTGAGTGCTCCAGCTGGAGGTCAGCTGTGACCAGCAGTGCTTCAGAATTTGAAGAGGCACAAATGGAATGTGAAAGAGAGAAATGTGCCAAGAGGAAGGCATGTCAAGCCAACCCCGACCGAGACTGCTTTCCACCTGGAACCCAATGCCCTCACTGCGGGAGAAGATGCAGGTCAAGAATAGGACTCCACAGTTATCTACGGACCCACAAGAATACTGATCCTGGAAGACTATCCTACTCGGCCAATGAGGGATTGCCTAAGGAAGGAAGGAAGGAAGGAAGGAAGGCCATCACGTCACTCCCTCATCTTTCCACCATGCTGAACATGCTCAACTCCTTCAACCTTTGTTCCTAGGTTGTGTGGTCCATACCTGTGGCGAATTCAAGTCCTGGAAATTACCACATTCACGCCATGGAGATGACCTACCTGGAATCCTGTTGAGGGTCACCCAGAAGTGTTCGTCGGGGCTGTAGGTATCCATGGACCAGTTCAGCAAATCCCGGGCCCGCTTGTCTATGAAGAGGAACTCCACAAAGGGCCGGGTCAGGGCAATGTACGCTGAGCCAAAGTGGATTGTCAGGTTGTGTGGCACCTGCGACTTGACAATGGAGGTGCGTTTCATGTAGGAAGCGTCTTTGCGCATGTGCTGCCGGTAGACATATTTAATCCGTGAGGTGAAGCGGGCAGGCATGGGTACCCCAGGGGTGATGTTCTTGCCCTGGAAGGACTTCAGGTGCCGGACGACTTCCAGGTTGGTCTTGAGCGGGACATCTTGACCGCACATGTTGAGGACGTATTGCCAGTGGATCTGGGAGGTCAAGAGGTCCTTCATGCAGTTGAGGTCGGCCTGGAGCCTGGAGATGCCGGCGTAGACGACGGGTTCGGCTTTGGAGACCAGGAAGGCATTGGGGAAGCAACCCACCAGCTCCTCCACCCTCTGCTGGTAGGAAGCGGGGGCTTTCAGGTCCACATGGATGCAGTAGACGTTGTGGGGCGCATAGAGGGAGCGGAAGACCCGCTCGAAGGTGGGAAAGTCCTTGTGGAGGGTGACCACGTAGGCCAGGGGGAAGGCAGCCTCTTCAGCAGACAGGGTCCGCGTCAGGTAGTGGCTCCCTGACCGGTAGTCCTCGCAAGAGGAGAATCGCCCCCACGTCGTGCCAAGGCGGGGCTCCCAAGTGAAGGCTTTGCCCCCGCTTAGAAGAGAGGCGCACTGGGCACGTAGGGCGGCCGCTTCCCCGAGGGGCAAAGACGGCTCGGGCTCCTGCTTGGGCGGCGTGGCGTCGGGCCAACGGGGACCTCCGTCCAGCAGCAGCAGCAACGCCCCGAAGCCGAGCAGCAAGAGGACGGCAGCGGCGAAGAGGCACTGGAGCCTAAAGGGAGGCAGCGCCGGCATCGGAGCGGTTTGGAAGCGGGGCACCAGAGGCTGCTTCTTTCCCGCTGGGCGCCGTCGGAAGGCCTCCAGGGATACATTCAGCCACGGAGATGCATTCTGCCAGCAGCCGCTTCCCGCTCGTCCCCTCGGAAGCCCCGTTGCCAAGCCCGCCGCCCGCTCCCAACGCACCTTGCCTCAAGTCCAGAGGCGCGTCCTCACCAATCAGAGAAGAGCCCTGTTTTGCATATCGCTTCCCATTGGTTGGCGACGGCAACGTTCTCTCCCCCCACCCCCTTTCTCCATCTCCGTTTGTTCCATTGTCTTTTTCGGACGGGAAAAGCGGTCACTTCCTCGAAGGTTTCTCCGGGGACATCTCTATATGTACCACTTGGCTCAGGGCCTTGGAATCACGGGAGTTGTAGTTTGGCGAAGCACCAGCGCTTCTGGGGAAAGAAGGGTAAAGACCTTGTACCACCGCCACGCCCATGATTCTGTAGCATTCAGCCCAGCATTGATGTGCATTGATTCTACAGTGTAGATCAGGCATGGGCAAACCTTCTAACTTGGAGGACGCCTTGCCCATGCCTGATCTACACTGTCTTTTCCTCCCCTTCCTCTTGTCTTTAGGAAACAGAATGTTTGGATCCCAAAAGGGTTGGTCTTGGGATGAGATGGGGGATGGAGGAGAAAAAGTGTACCCATTAGAAACCCCCTCCCCCGGGGTGGAAGAGACCCCCAAAGGCCATCCAGTCCAACCCCCTGCCATGCAAGAAGGCACAATCAAAGCACTCCCGATAGACAGCCTCTAAGGAAAAGCTTCCAGAGAAGGAGCCTCCAGGACACTCGGAGGCAGCCTATGCCACTCTCCAATAGCTCTTACTTTCAGGAAGTTCTTCCTAATCTTTCCAGGCGAATCTCTTTCCTTGTCGTTTGAAACCATTGCTCCCTTATGCCCTGATCTCCAGAGCAGCAGAAAATCGGTTTCTCCCTCTTCCTTCTCAATGGGGCACCCCTTTGAATCTTGAAACATAGGTTCCCATGCTCCCTCTCCATTGTCTCTTCTTCCAGCTAAGCATCCCCCAGGAGGAAGGGAGGGAGGGGGGAAGAAGAAGGGAGAAAGGAAAAAGGTGGAAGGAAATGGAGGGAGGGAAGTGAGAAGGAAGGAAAGTCGAAAGGTAAGAAAGGAAAGAAGGAGGGGAAAGATAGAGGGGGAGGAAACGGGAAGGAAGGGCAAAAGGATGGAAGGGAAGGAAGGAGGGAGGGAGAAAAAGGGAGAAAGGGAGGGAAGGAGGAATGAAAGAGAGAAGGAAGGAAACACAAATGGGAAGAAAGAGAGAGGGAAGGAGTGAGGGAGGAATGAAAGAATGATGAAAGGGAGGGAGGGAAGGAGGAAGGAAAGACAAAAGGGAAAGAAGGAAGAAGAAAGAGAGAGGGGGAGGAGGGAGGAAAGAGGGGTGGAAGGAAGGATGAAAAGGTGGAAGGGGGAGGGAGGGAGAAAGAGGGAAGGGAGGGAGAAGAGAAGGAGGAACAGCAATAACAGGAAGGAAGAGGGAGAAAAGAGGGAAGGATGAAAGGTTGGGAGGGAAGGAGGGAGGAAAGAGAGGAGGAAGGAAAGACAAAAGGGAAGGAGAGAAGGAAGAGGGGGGAAGGGGGAGGAAAGAGGGAAAGAAGGATGAAAAGGGGGAAGGGAAGGAACAGAAGAGCGGATGTCTTATTTTTTGGGGAAAAAATGTTATAACCCAAATTACCAAAGCATGGATGTCTGCTCATGTTTTTATCACTTTGATGTCTATGTAATTGTTTTTAATTTTATGTGTGATATTTTGGGGTGCTTTGTTACCCACCCTGAGTTCCTTTGGGGAGATGGTGGCGAGATGCAAATAAAATGTATTATTATTATTATTATTATTATTATTATTATTGCTGTGAACTGTAAGGTTTTGTCAAAGGCTTTCATGGCCAGAATCATTGGGTTGCTGTGAGTTTTCCGGGCTGTATGGTCATGTTCCAGAAGCATTCTCTCCTGATGTTTCACTCACATCTATGGCAGGCATCCTTGTGAGGTCTGTTGGAAACTAGGGAAGTGAGATTTATGTATCTGTGGATAGGGCCGTAGCCAGAAAATTTTTTTGGGGAGGGTTGAAAATTTCAGAGAGGGTTGAAAATGGGGGGGGGGGGTTGAAACCTGCCTCCTAGCTCACGCTGAAGCAAAGAGCACAGCAGGGGGCAGAGCAGCCTTCAATAGCCTGCAGCTCCGCCCCTGTCAACCACCTCCACCAAGTCTGGCCTCCTTAATGAGAGCATTCAACCCCCCCCCCCAACTTGGTTATTGCTGCAAGTAATGACAGTGTGAATAAATTGTCAATATTTGCTTGAGATAGTGCTTGCAGTTCTGGAGGGACTCTTAATTTTTTGCGTCTCATAGACTTAGCATGGGGATTTGGTTAACCAGTTAAAATTCATGAGTAAACCAGGTGTTTTTTTTAACCTGAAAAATTTGGGGGGGGGGGTGTTGAACCCCTACCCCCCCCCCCCCAGCTACAGGCCTGTCTGTGGAGTGTCTAGGGTATGAGAGAGAACTCTTGTCTGCTTGAGGCAAGTGTGAATGTTGCAGTTGACCACCTTGATAAGCATTGAACGGCCCCTACAGCTTCCAAGCCTGCCTGGGGGAATCCTTTGTTGGGAGGTGTTAGCTGGCCTTGATTGATTCATATCTGGAATTCCTCTGTTTTCTGAGTGGTGTTCTTAATTTACTGTCCTGATTTTAGAGCCTTTTAATACTGGTAGCCAAATTTTGTTCATTTTCATGGTTTCCTCCTTTCTGTTGTGGATTTCACAGGGACCACCAAATGCAGCACTGCCTTAACTCAAATCAAAGAACACGAAATGCACTGCAGACCAATTCAACCAGAGAAGTCAGCCATAGAAGAGCACTTGATGAACCAACCTGGACACAGCATATTATTTGAAAACACAGAAATGCTGGATCACTCTAACAACCACCATGTCAGACTACGCAGAGAAGCCATTGAAATCCACAAGTATCTGTCTAGCACTCTGCTCCCCAGTGAGCAAACATATACTTACTGGATACCAATATGTGGGAAATGAGTGTAATGGTCAGTAAATGTTGCCCAAAGGCAAACTGCCTCTGAGATTTGAGACCAACCATGTGTCAGTGCAAGTAACCATTACCCTCAGAGCATAGAGAGCTGCTTTTTAAAAGTGATTTATTTCATTACTCATCAGTGTAATGAAATAAACTTCCTGTTATTCATTATAATCATGGAGAAAGTGAACTTGGGCCAGCTGTTGCTTTTATTATTATTTTAGTTACTCTCTAAGAAGAATCATAGAATCATAGAGTGGGAAGAAACCTCGTGGGCCATCTAGTCCAACCCCCTGTCAAGAAGCAGGAAAATTGCATTCAAAGCACCCCTGACAGATGGCCATCCAGCCTCTGTTTCAAAGCCTCTAAAGAAGCAGCCTCCACCACACTCCAGGGCAGAGCAACCCTTAAGATTAATTAGACTTAAGAACTTCCCATCAACTTGCCTCTTCAAATGGCTGTAAAAGTAAACTTTTTAACAAAAGGAGTAGGAATTGTCACTTTTTTACAGCAATAAAGTTTCTTGTTGAACTACTTTCAAAATGTAACTTTGTTACACTCTCCTAACACTGAAACAACACATTAGTTGCATATAGCAGCATTATTTGCAACACGTTTCTGGTAACACATTATTTTGAAGCTACTTATCCTCCATGAAGTCATGACCCGAGTTTCCAGTGGACCAGAGAACAGTTGAAAAATTGCTTCCTTGTGGTGAAGGAAGGACAAAAAATGCAAGGCCTGACCAGAGTCACAGCTGCCATTTCTTTCAAAGGAAAGTGGCAGTGTCAATCAAGCTTTTTCAAATATCTGTTTGCTCTCACACGTTTGTTGCTGTAGCTATGTACTTTCAAGTTGGCAATGATGTACAGTGACACTATCACACAGTTTTCTTTGCAAGGTGTATTCCATTGCATTCCTGTGGTGAGAGTCAGGATTGTATAGTCATTTCTGTATTGTGCGACGACAGTGTTTCCCAACTTGGGGATCATCAAAGACCATCAGAAAACACAGTATTTGGTTCAGATATGTGGATGACACCTTCACCATTTGGAGCCATGGAGAAGAAGAACTCAACAGGTTCCTGGACCATCTTAACAGCATCCACCCAAACATCCAATTCACCATGGAAAAAGAAAATGAAGGAAGACTGCCTTTTCTAGATGTCCTAGTCATCTGCAAACCAGATCAACAATTGGGTCGCACTGTTTACAGAAAACCCACACACACAGATAGATATCTACATAAAAACTCCAACCATTACCCAAGTCAAAAAAGAAGCACCATTAAAGCCTTGGCAGACCGTGCAAAAAGAATCTGCGAAGCCCACCTCCTCCAAGATGAACTGAACCACCTCAACTGGGCTCTCCAGGCCAATGGATACTCCACCTCAGACATCAGAAGAGCTGCAAGACCAAGAACAAGCCACGAGAGTAAAGATGAAGATCCACCCAGAGGAAAAGTGTTTCTGCCATACATCAAGGGAACCACTGACCGCATAGGGAAGCTGATGAGGAAACACAACATACAAACAATCTACAAACCCACCAAGAAAATCCAACAAATGCTACGTTCAGCAAAGGACAAGAGGGATCCTCTCACCTCTGCAGGAGTCTACCGTATTCCATTCAGCTGTGGACAAGTCTACATAGGGACCACCAAACGCAGCATTGCCCAAAAACGAATCAAGGAACATGAAAGGCACTGCAGACTACTTCAACCAGAGAAATCAGCCATAGCAAAGCACCTGATGAATCAACCTGGACACAGCATTTATTTGAGAACACAGAAATGCTGGACCACACCAACAACCACCATGTCAGACTACACAGAGAAGCCATTGAAATCCACAAGCATGTGGACAATTTCAACAGAAAGGAAGAGACCATGAAAATGAACAAAATCTGGCTACCAGTATTAAAAAACTCAAAAATTACAACAGCAAAACAGCAGAGAGGAAACAACCAGGCACATCTTAACACCTCTCAACAAAAGATTTTCCCAGGCTCAGGCAGGCCTTCAAATGCTAATGAAGGTGATCAGCTGAAACATTTACACCTAACTGCAGCAGGAAAGAGCTCCTTGCCCCACCCCAGGCATTCCACAGATATATAAACCCATTGTCCTAATTCCAACAGACCTCACTACCTCTGAGGATGCTTGCCATAG